AGAGGATCATATGAAGTCACAGCGAGTACTGGATAACTGCTCTGATCTTGTGGTCAATGGAAATGGACTCACGAATATGATCCCTTATGCCAAGCACTATGTTGCTCAAAAATAGGTTGTAGTTACATGATTTATATTTTCCAGCTTAGTCAAGTTACGATATAACGTGACTGTCCCCTAATTTTATCAGTAACAATTCACAGTGTGGTGAAACACTGAAAAAGATTCTAGACTTCATTCTTATTCCTAAATTTTTCTAGTATTATTCCGTTATGAAAAAGCTGTCTTATTACTAAGTTTATTTCATTGCGTGAGAATTAACAGAAAGCAGTACTACACAATTACTACCTTTAATTATAACCAAGACGATTGTATGAACTAAAGTTATTTCATACTTCCGGATGAAAAAACCGATATGAATCAATTTTTTACGTATAATCCTTCGTTTATTGCATGAAATAACTGTAATGGTTATGCATAATTTACTGTGTTCATTTACAATTTATATTATAATCTACATTAATGCAATAAAAATGTTGATAATTATAATAACATTCATAATAATAATAATAATAATAATGTTATGCACGATATTATTATTTTGATATATTGTTCTAGTTTATACGGTTACCATGACAATCTTTTGTTGATTTTATTGATTACGATCAGTTGAATAAGATCAATTTATATGACTGATTTACATATTTCTCAGAATACTATGCATTTATTTTGATCTACATACTATAGGACAGATTTCTTTTTCCTTAATACAAACAATATTTAATCAGTAAAAGTTATTTCCCTTTTTGTACATTAAGTCAATAAATTGGTTGTTTCAATCAAAAAGGAACAGATATTATTTTGTAAATGACTTTCAAATTAATCTATTTAGAAATTGAACACAATTATAAAAAAGTTAAAATAAAACAATGAAAATAAATGAATTAACATTGTGATTTTATAGTTTTTGATTCCATCGAAATTTATTAAATTGATCAAAATAAATTAAGTTTAGAGGGTGGATATAAAATATTTACTGATGAACTAGTTAATAGACGATATGTTTCCCTTTAACTGTTCATTTTCTAATATTTGAAAAAATTTGTTTTCATTGTCTAACCTAATTTGAAAATTGATTTCAATGTCATTTATATAGGGAGAAATTAGTCATTCATTGTTTAATAAATATCTAATTAATCATTTGTCAAATAAATATTGGAAAACAACAAATTAACAGAATAGAACTTTAAAATGTTCATATTTATCTACTTGTTTGATTAAAAATGGAATTTTTTTTCTAAAAAATAAAAAGTAGTTCTTACTACTTTTATCAATTTTTCAATGATTTTGTTTGAATTAACACACCAAAAATTTGTACTAAAATTACTTTTCTAAATATAGTTATCAGTTTTGCATTTTGGTTTGCTGTTTTTTTCTCTACAAACTATTTTTATGAATAGAGTTTACTAAGCAAATAGTTCTGTAGATATTTCACCATTTTTAACTTACTGTAATCCAATGATATGACTTATTAGTAACGTAACCCATTTATTTTGCATGAATACTTGTTTTATAGAAGAGTAATTATATGATAACTTATGTTAATTATAAAGTGGTAAGCATGGGTATGATTTAAAGCAATAAGTCCCTTTGATAAATTTCGATAGTGTAATAAGAAGACGAATATTATCAGAACTATGTGATATATTAGCACAATACATTTAGAACAATCTGATCACACATACACTTATTAAGAACATTTATATATCAAAATAGAAGGTCAACTAGACTGTAAATGAGGGGGGTAAGAATAGACAAGGATAATAATAATGTGAAAACAATTTAATACTTAATCACTCTGGATAATAAGCTAATATTATATTATAGGTATGATTATAAATTCATAGTATCGAATGATTGAATAATCATTATAGATTAATAACACTCTTCTTGATTAATAAATTTTGAAATAGTTAACAATTCATTCGACAGATGGTTGGTTGGTAACAAAGAAATAATAGTAGTCTAATATTTGTAAATGTTCAAGTTTCTTCTTTACTACTATTTAGAATTAAGTATTCAATAATTGATATTTTATAATTCTACTTTTAAAATGTCAATAAAACGTACGTGATTATTTTTTTATTTATTTTAAGAATATAGAAATAAAAAATGAAAAGTTTTCCTTGTTTTATATAATAAATATGTATTTGAGTACAGTAAATGATTATGCATATTTTATTTTAAATTGACAGTTTTATACATTGATTATCTATTCATTCTTAAAAAAGAATATTCATTGCTCTGGTATATTCAAGGTTAGCATTAACAAATGAACCAATTTTATTATTGCAATACATGCAAGTGTATAATTAATCATTTTACTTTATTAAAAAGGATTATAGTTAATTATCTATACTTTTGTAAATTTTCTAAATTAAAATCATTGATGAAGCAATAAATTACAGTTAAATCATAGTGTATGTTACTTATGTCAACAGATATAAGTAGAGGGTAACATCAATCATAAATGGAATGTCTGGCAATAGAATGTCAAGAAGATCGAGTTGAAAAGAACAAGAATGTAAACAGTGGGTAATTTTCGTAACAATAGGGTTGAAGGAGCGATGAATTTTGTAAGAGATAAGTGATGGAAGATACGTAAATAAAGCATTTAATGTATGGTTTTCATATTTTTCGAAGATATCCTGTAATACTATGTTCAACAATGAGTTGGTGTTCCCCATATGAGTGTTTGTTCACTATTATATACGAATATATCGGATACATTTTCCCTATACATGTTGTTTGCTTATAAAATGTTCGCCTAAATAAGCCTATGCCATAACATTAGTTCAATGTGTTACAAGACGACTGATTTAAGGTTTAATTAGCATCATCGTTTTTTTTTGGATTTTGTTTAAATTCCGTAAAAGTAAAATCAAAGTTCTCAGTGCTTCCCCAGTTGATATTGATAAACGACAGAAACCATGTTCAAACTAAATAACTCTCTAAACATCTCTGAATCAAGCAAAAACTTGAAGCTTTTAAATCCTTTTTTAGTTGCGTCTCAATAATAAGAATTTTAATCGAACTACTGTTTCTGACACCTAAATCTTATGAAATAAATGATATAAACAAGTTTGCTGAGCTGTTTTTATGGAAATTCTACACAGTGTGAAGACTATTTTCAACATAACATGATATCCTCTAAGAAATTACCAAAGATTGAACAGAGATTAAATAGTATTTTGTTATAGTTTTGGACCTCTGAAAATCACACACCCATGATTATCTAATAAATAAAACACAAGATCTAAAATTTATCTGAAAGAATATTGACTTCAAGTCAGTGAGCTAGAACACTGTATTACATTGTCTAACGTGGCTAACTTTACTGACCACGACTTCCTACTTTAACTTCACGAAATACCACTTGAAAGTAATCAGTAGACACTGTATTATTCATATTTGCGGATTTGTAAAAATGTAAAAACATTTCAACCTTGAACTGTTCAAATGATTCCTCATTTCAAACAGTTTTTCAATGATCCTCATCTCATAAAATCATAAGTCACCTTTTTTTAGTTTTGGATTATTCTTTTACAATATTGATGATAATTTTAAAACAACCAAACAAGTGAGTTTTTCAAAAAATACACTTTTTTTCCTTATTTTTTTCTCAAATATTCAATATTTTCATTGCATAAACGAGAATTGAAGCAAAAACATTTTTTTTAAATTTCAGTGAGAAATTTTCATCTCTTTTGATTACTTCATTTCTGTGTGTGTTATGGAAACTAACTGGAAGAAAAAAATTTATAAAAAAAATTTTATTTTTTGTATAAAAAGAAAATTATTTCAATTTTATTATAAAATATTTTTTTCTTTTTATCAATGGCTAAAATGAAATCAATCAATTTAGCATACCTGTATAAGTGAACGTGTGTATGTGTATACTAAGCGAATAGGACCTATAAAAATAATATTATCCTTAATATCAGTCCTCTCTCTATATATAAATATATAGACATATTTATAAAAGTTTATATATAATCTTGACTTCTTGATTGAGGTGGAAATTTACTCAGTAACAGAGTTTCACTTCAGCTTGTTGAAGCTGATATTGTTTGTTTATATGTGTACTTTGGCTTGCTGTATATATACCTACGTGAGTATATGTTCATATGTTTATATATATATATATATATATATATATATATATATATATATACCAATGTATGTCTGTATAGTAGATATGCTTAATTATTATATCAGTTGATATTTGTATTAAAATGAATGAATGAAAAAAAATTCAATAAAATCAAATCCTGTCCAGATTGAACTCAAGTGAAAAAGAAAAACAGAAAATTGTGAAAGTTTTAAATTAATGAATTAAAACAATTTTGATTTGAAATGGATGCGTAAACACCTAAATAAGTTGGAGGGTTTTTGTTTTAGATATTGAATGTGTGTATGTCAATTTTTCATTTTAATTTATTGATAAAATCTAGAAATAAATAAAAAAGATTCTTCGTAATTTTTCTTTACTTCTCTAACTAGAATTTAGTGTTTATGTGTTTGTTTTGTTTTGTTTCGTTTTTTTCTTTTCACTGATAAATCAGATATTTTTGATTTAATTGTCAGAAGAAAAATTAAAAAAAGTTAAAATTTATTTCATGAATAAAATATATTGGTATTCCATGAATGACTTATTGTGTAATCTCTTGATATTGCCTTACTATTAAGCTTAGTCTGTATAAAGCATTGATTACCTAACAATGCTTATCAATCAACATCAACAAAAAAACTTATGCCCAAGAGGTTCACTGTGGGAAAAATGTAATATGGATATAAATAGTTTTCATAAATCATCTTAGTTAACCATACCATATTGGTTTAATGTAAATAACATAACTATGCAATTTTACGTAAGATAATACATGTAACAGCCTATGTAAACCATGAAAATTTGAGCATTTACTTCAAAATTAACTTACGCCTGTTACCCGTCGTCGAGGAGCATATGTCCCTCACTAGCATTCTCCATCCAACTCTGTCCTGGGACTTCCTTTCCAGTTCTTTCCAGTTGCTATTCATTCTTTTCATATCTGTTTCTATTTCCCGGCGTAATGTGTTCTTTGGCCTTCCTCTTTTCTGCTTCCCTTCTGGATTAAAATTTAGGGCTTGTCTCGTGATGCAGTTTGGTGATTTCCGTAATGTATGTCCGATCCACTTCCAACGTCTTTTTCCAATTTCCTCTTCAACTGGAAGTTGATTTTTCCTCTCCTTTTGCTGATGGTATCCGGCCAGTGAATGTCACGTGAAAATTGGTTTGGTCGAATTTGACAAAGAGAAAAAAATTGTAATTCAATCGGTAGAGCACATGTTAATTGATTTCAGATTTTGAGGTGAAATTCGTAATAACCCTAAAAGCTATTCATCATGTTTATGTACTTAAACTTGTTTAAATGTAGAAAGAGGTGTATTCAATTACAAAGGATTTAAAATATAAACTTAGTTTAACAGCTTAAGTCTTTCTACTGCCGGCAATGGGAACTGTATCTAATCAGTTTATATCATTATATGTTCATCTTGGCCAGACTGGTTCAATGTTATCTCTAAGCGGGAGTTTCATTAAAGTTGGATTGTGGATAGTAATGAAATATATGGTAAGAGATTTGTCCTATTTAGGACTCAGCAGATGGGGTGGTTTTACTTTGAATAAAATCTTCGTCAAAACTTGGCAATAGTTGGATAATTACTGAAGATCAATAAAAACGTTTTAAAAGTTGTTTCGATTTGATCTGATCACTTTTATAACATTGTACATTCCTTATAATAAGTGAAATTAATATTATCTTTCACAGCTTTTAATTTAAGAATCAAATCATTTAGCCATGCGTGTAAACTAAAGGAAACTTTTAAAAACTAAAGTAAAAACCATTATGTCTTTTTCAATCAACCTTTTTACTTATTCAGCAATGAAACCGTATTTCCCAATTATCTAACTAACAATATACCATTATTTGAATGTTAATTATACACCTATTTCTTTGGTTTTTTTTTCGTCTACAGACATTCATTCCATGTCTTATTTATAAATGTTATCTGGATAAATTCAAACTGTAAGTTATACAAAAAAAACCTCATTTTATATATCTTTATGTATTGATTTACGATTTTATTCATTCAGTTTTAAATTCATTGAATACTATAAATAAGACCTGTGGTGAAAAGTCATAAATTACACAAAATTCAAGGTAGAATTTATGTATGAATTAATATTTATTACTCTTTAAGTATACTAAAAGAATGTTTCTATGACTGTAAAATGTAACATTTATTTATACATTCAACTTAGTATTGTTTGTTTGTTAGGACTGCAACTGGTCAGTCTCTAATTGGCATATGTGCATACTGTGCGTATTGCCACTTGCTTGTGGCTATCAGGACTCAGTGGCCGAGTGGATAACGCGATAGCGTTTGAAGCGAAGGTACTGGGTTCGAGTTCCAAAGTGAACATCAACTCTGAGATGCAGGTACATCCAGCTGACGAGTCCCAAATAGGACGAAACGCGCGTCCTGGATTCCACTGCTAGCCACTATCCATCTTTGCTAATTTATTTATACAGTTATATTTCTTTTCTGTTTTGCTGTATAGTTTATGATTCCTATTGATTAATTGAATAGAAAAGCGACCGTTTTCAAAGTTCGTCATTCATCGGTAATCAATACTGTTAAATATTTGGTGGGAATATGTGTTAAAACATTGTGTTATTGTGAAGTATTATATTCTACTTTAAAAGGTAGTATATTGTTTGTCAATTTTGGACACTATTCAATATGTTGAGTAGTAGTCATTCAATTTACTGCATGTATAAAATAATCTACAAGATATAATTATTCTCGGATTTCTGAAGATAGTTGCCAGGAAAACGTAGACTTAATTTTCGAGTTTATTGTCACTCGCCATGAAGGCGCACTTGGATCATTGAGAAAAATAGTGTTTTCCAAGGTACTCTCCGATAAGTTCGTTAAGCAGATACTCTTGAATATAACAAAGAACGGATTCTGGCTAACATTAAATTGTATTCCAATTTCTCACTAATAATTAAATAGAATTTTTCACTGAATCTACCCGTGTTAATCTCATCAAACCAGAATTCTACAATTAGTACTGCTTGTTCTCCTTGTAAGTTGAAAGTCAGTAATCGCATCACTCATATATCAGCCTTAGGATAATTCTTGCTTAACATGACTGAATGAAGATTAAAGAATAATAAAAAAGAGTATCAACAGAAAAGTAAGTATTATGGGAATGATTAGCGTTTCATCAACACATTCAGAAAATATCGTCGATGAACAAATTCACCTAAAAACAAAGAAAAAACCGAAGTAAATCTGATTATTTCATTATCATACTTGAAAAAAACAGTATTGTCTTCACACAGACACATACTTTCATCAAAATTGTTACGTAAGACATAAAATCAAACAATGATTGTCTTACAACAACCAAAAAAGTGAATAAATTTTTTTATGCAACATTTAAAATAATTAATTTCATTGTGTTCTAATCTGCATATGTAAACTATACTGGTCTGATTATTCATTGTATTAGATTACGTCATGAAAATTAATTAGATTATGTTTAGTTATTATTTTCTACCTCCCCTTCACTTTGAATGAGTTTTCATATTGATCAATATTCCTGGGGGGGTTTTTTAACATAACAAATTTGTTATTATAATGAACAGACAAAAAAAAGAATAACGTTGGAAACAATTAGATATTGTTTTTTTAAAGTCTAATTTAGTATATAGAAAAGTAAATTGAATCGTGATAGTTATTTTATCTCTTTCTATTGCCATTTGAAATAGCGATAATGTTATATATGGAAAATTATATCCTGCTGAACAAAAAAAACAATATGGTAATACTTACGTTTTCTACAAAGATTTCTACATGAAATGATACTGTTTGTTAAGTTAATGAAAAACATAGAGAACTGAATAGTCGAGTTCCAAATATGTTATACATTACTCAAATTTAAAGTATTTGCGAAAGTAAATAAATGCGAAACAAAATAAAAAGTTAAATCTGATAAAAATTGCTACTTACTTTGTTACGATATCAGTAGTAAATCACCCTGGGAATTTAAAAAATTGTAATTTTTGTCACATAGATATTTTTAATCTGAAGATAAACAGATATAATAATTACAGTATTTAATTCATTATTTAATGACGACTAGCTAATATCACTTCAGTAAACAGATTAACGAACTCTATTAATCTAGCAACCATATGAAAATTCTAACTAAGAAAAAAGAGAAAAGTAAAAAAAATGGAGATTGACCGAACTCCATCACTTTTATTCAACGTTATCTAAATATTTTGATTGTTCGTTAGATTTAAATAATCTTAATAAAGTATCACTGTGCAAACTTAACGCTTCATTAAGATATGATCATCAAAATTACGGTGAATAATGCTTTTCGATATTACTTTACTCAGGTAAAATGTTGCAATGATACTGTCACTGGGAGCTCCTTTTGACATTTTCATTTTGAAATCAATTTTGACAAACAGAGAATATCACTTACTTCTTGGTTTGTTTAGTCGTGACTTACATTATGTGATGCATTCATTTTTATTACGTTATATTTAAGCACTGACCAGTGGAGCTCATCCAGATCTGTTGTGAGATAGTAACTCACTGAAGACAATGGTTAATGTGTCGCTCAATTTCATGGGTTGGCTGAAGTTAGACATTAACACCGCTGGATGACGGCACAGTGGTCTAGAGGTTAAGTGCTCGCGCGCGAGACTGATAGGTCCTGGGTTCGAATCTTTCGAGGCGGGATCCTGGATGCGCACAGCTGAGGAGTCTCACAATAGGACGAAACGGCCGTCTAGTGCTTCCAGGTTTTCCATGGTGGTCTAGCTTCAATTGATTTATGAACCCAACCATTAAAAAAATTATGTTTAATAGTTAATTCAAGAGAATTCATTAGAGATTTTTCTGATATATCCTTCTGGTGATTACTTAACAGACAACTATATTAGCTGAATGATTTGTTCAATAAATTGGTTATTCTATGTCTAAAGTGGCATCATTTTTATCACTCATATCAATTCATCATAAGTATAAGACACGCATAACGACCATAAATTTAAATAATCACGTTTTATTACATTCAGTCAAAAACAGAAATATTAAATTATTTAATATTTAAAATTAACTTAAAATTCACTCTACAATAATTTACTTAAAATAATTATCCTACAAACAATTTATTCATTGATAATTAAGATACTGATGACGGCAGTTTTATTGACGATGACAGAGACGACGACGATGGCGGCGGTGGCAATAAAAGCATATCTGTTTTATTTTAAAAAATATCATATTTCTTGACAGATCTTTCATATTTAATCCAACTCGAATTTCTTATTCACAAAACTATTGCTTATCTCTGACGTTCTCATCATATTTCATTCAGATAAACAAATGTTGTAAGAAATGTATACTAATATTACTTGACTGTTGTATGTAATAAGTATGCTTGTCTAATTGAATTAATCATAGTAATATTGGTGAACAATAATGGCTATTTAAAAAAATTCAAAAATATTATTATTGTTATTTAATTAACATTTCATGTCCGTCTTTAGGTAAAACTTAAATTTTTCGAGATGAATGAACAGTATACCTATAGTGGGCTGAAACTTATAACTATAGTGACAATAATGATTGTAGTATATAAAGCCGAAATTATGTTCAACGTAAAAGTTATCATCGCATTTAATGAATAACTCTGTTGTATTCTTTTGATATCGTGTACCTTGATCTTCCAAACAAAAATTTGCTTAAATTAGCTAATTAAACTACATAGTTCAATCATTTTAGTGGAGAAAAAATAGGATAGAAAGTAATTCACTTTTTATGTAATTTTTGTTGAAATGACTTCCAAATTGATTTAACTTCCTCTTACACTTATCGTTCAGTTAGAATAATACAATGAAATAATCTACTGAAATTGTAATTTATTTTACTGGTTTGACCACGTGTCAAAAAATTAAACCTAAGATTTTAACCCATTTCTTGGCTCAAAGTTCTCCTTAACTACCATTGATTTCCATTTTACATCCAATTATGTAATATTGTTCGGCAGAAATACTGAGTGATACAACAAATGATGCGGGATAATGCAAGACACGCTGGTAGCTACTCAACTTTCTGATTAAGAACCTGAGAATGCATTGAATTATTTCTTGAGTTGTCAATTG